CAAAGATTCAAAGTATGGCAAATGGTCGCCCAATTGGGAAGGACCATATAAAGTAAATAATGTGTTGCCTAATGGAGCCTATCGTTTAGAAGATTTAGACGGCACCAAACACATGAGGTTCATTAATGGCAAATATTTAAAAAAATATGTTCCTTCCTTATGGGAAAGTGAAATAAAAACGTAATCAAATTGCATTGAACGATCGTAGAGTAAAAAGGGCCAGAGCGAAATACGTTCAAAATAAATTCCTTTATTATCAAACGTTCATTATAAAGTTGCAAAATACAAAATAATAAATGCTCTACAAGTTACAATTAAGAGAAAACTACTCTCCCGGTTGATTCCCGAGTAAGAGGGTGAACTGGCCTTGATTGCCATCCTGATCGCACTGCTGCAAAGGCAAGCAGAGAGGCCGAGAAGCACCCTCAGCAAGCTGAAAAGAAGAGAAGTACCCTCGCATCACCTTCCTAAATGTATCGCTGCAATGACGGGAAAGGAGGTTGAGAAGCACTCTCAGTAAGCAAGCTGGCCTGCAAGCACCCAAAAAATTGTCTTCCATCATTGAACTCCTTGTAGGAACGGAGACGATGGGAAAAACTTTGCTACTGCCCAAAGAATATTTCCTATATCTCCCATACCAAAGGTGACATCAAGAAGGATGGCAAAATGGGTCCATTTCCATGGAAAACGAAGGTTTTGGATTGATTGTCAAAATGCCAAACAATGACAACAAATTATTTTTTTAAAGAAGAAAATGGAAATAAAGATGGAAAGTATGAAGTATACGTGCATTTATAGGGGGTGAAGGTGAAAAGACAGAATATAAACAGCCACATTCGTGCCTAGCAAATGGAATCAAGTGGCCCAAAGTCTTGAAAAAAGAGGCAGAAATATCAAGAGAAGATGTGCAAATAATTTTAGTATAAAGCAGTTAAATGCTTGAGCAATTGACGATTAAAAGACAAACGTCAATAAATATACAAGAAGCTAAAATAGTTATTTATTAACAATGACGACTGCTATTATGATCAAAATTAGCAACGGATATCAGTACAAGGTTACAAAGGAAAAGTCAATACGAAATTACAAAAAGAAAAAGTTAAGGCATTATATGTCTTAATTACAATTCGCCCCATACCAAACGAATTCTTTCCCTAAGTCTCCCCCAATCCTCGCTCTGTCGAGAAGAAGTGATATTCAATTCAGCCACGACATCATCATCAACTTCCAGCTTCTTGTACTGCTCGACCAAAGACTTGGTTCGCTCAATTCCTTGGGAGGCATTGCGTTTTTTGGCAACCATTCTCGCCTTGCAGTCGTCCATCTTTGCTTGAAGCTCCTTCATCTGTGCAGCCAAACTGGTCATCAAAGAGTCTTCAATCATGACTTCAGAAGAGATTTCTTTCAATTCGTCCTCAGCTTTGTTGATCTCCAGAAGCAAAGATTCTCTTTTAGATACAGCGCGAAGATATTGAGTACTTTTGGCCTTCAGTTCAACATTTTTGGCCAGCAAGGAGAGGACCTCGGAATGGACAACCTTCAACGTCGCTTTAAAATCAGCAGAAAGATTGAACGACGGAAATGTCAATGCTTGCTCCAATTTCGCATTCAAATGCTCAAGCTTATCCTTATGCTTGGCAGCACTAGCCTTACCGATGTCCATATCCATGAAGGACACATACTCAAATATCGACTACTTGAGGAACTTCATATTTTCCTCTGAAGAAGCAGAATGACGACTGGCTGAAGCAGGGCGAGATGTCTTGACTTGCCCCCAGGAAGTGAACAAGTCTTGGATGGAACGCACAATTTTATCAGCATCCTGCAAAGAAAGTTACCAACATCGAAGGTTTTCACTACACTAAACAAAGTGAAAGTAAAGGTGAAGTAAAAATTACCTCATCAGCAATCTTGGAAGGTGGCATATCTCCAGCCAAATCTACCACTTGTGGCTCCATCATTCGTGAGGACTTTCCCTTGTCTAAGCAAGAAGAACTTGCTGCAACGGGCAGACTCATGGGAGCATCTGCAGAACTCAAAAAGCAACAAATTAAAAACCAATAGCACAAGCAAAGGTGAAGCATCAAAAAATGAATTACCTTCTGTTTCGACGTTTGGGGGGTCAACGCCCTGGGAAGAAGGTGGCTCATCCATTGGTTGTGATGAAGATTCTGGGACTGAAGATTTCTCTTTAAGCGTAGTCCCTTTATTAGATGGTTTGGACGAAGCAACCTCAGCAGAGAATGATGGAGCAGGAGCTGCCAGCACCAAAGCTTTCAAAGGAGAGGCTGAACTATTCTGAGAAATTCAAATAAACCATCAGCACATAGAAAAGTTTCAAGTATGGAAAGGTATGCTTGTGAGTAAACCAATTTAATTACCTTCCTCCTGACGATGAGAGGGGTGTCATCATCATCATCAACATCATCCTCCAAAATAGGAGATGCTGAGGTTGGCAGTTTGCGGCTTGGGGCACTTTTAGCTGCAGTGGGCTTGGCAGGAAGAGAAGCCGATGGATGAGCAGATTGTTTAGCACGAGCAGGGGAAGAGGGACTCCTAATGGACACAGGAGTGACCAAAACAGGAGAGGTGGAAGAAATGTTTGGCTGGTCCAGTGAATGGAAAGCACGATTGGCATCAGTCGCAAACAATCTGCGCTTCACTGACGGCTAGAGTCGTTTAAAAAGGGGATGGATAGCATGACTAGGATAAAAAGGGGCTAATGAAAAGTTGCTCGTCAAAAGAATATTACGAGCATCTATAGCTTCTGCCTCTGCCTTATTAATGGTGTAGAAGCAGTCTATTAAATTTCTTGAATAGCAAGGGGGAACAGGCCAAGTTTGGCCAAAGCCAAGTTGGCGAGCAAAAAATTGGGGAGAGTATATTTCAACCCCAGCTTTGGCATTGGTTCCAGTCAAAATATTATGGAACAACTCCCTCCAGGTCAAAAATTGAATCCAAACGAACAGAGAGGTGCTCGTACTATCCATAGTGGATGGAGGTTGCACATAATCCGGAGTCAAAAAGGGAGGAAAAGGAAAGAAGGAAGGGATTGAATCCAAAGTATAAAAGAATGAAAAAATATCCTTTCTAGACATATTTACAGGAGTCAGGAGATCAATGGCTAGCCCATAGTAGCTAGCAGAAGGACTGGAAAAGGATGGAGCACCAAGCGATGGAAAATAGGCTTTCAACCACATTTGAGTGAACTAAAGAGGCCCACTGCCAGTGGGAGATGCACCATTCTTCAATTGAGATTGAAGAGAAGCCATGCCTCTATAGATGGCAGTTAAAAAGAAAGAACACAAATTTAGAGGCCTACCACGCGCCAATTCGTGTGCTATGGGTAAATAGCTCATGGAGGGCTTCATGCTTGGCACACACAAAATGTATTTACAAAGCCAAACTTGAAGAAAGGCCACACACTCAGCATGGGAAGGCTCAGCGCTCGAGTGGTTATGACAGGTTTGCAGGCTTGAATAAGACTCGGTGAGTTTTTTATCAAATTTTGGGGTGACACCAGAAATCAAAATACCAGGGAAAATGATATCGCCCAAATGTGGCAGATTTACTAGGGCCCCAACATCCCTTGAGGTAATGGACATGGGACCAAGAGGGAAAACAAAAGTATTATACCCAGAAGACCAAAAACTTAAAGCGACTGGAAAAAGTGCTGGGTCAAAAATAGGGGGTCGAAGAGAGATTTCTAACAAATCAGAAATCCTAGCATTATCAAAAATTGTCTTAGTAGGACCATGATCCACAAGGCGAGCATGCCATCTACAGAAAACGACATCAGATTTAGACCAAGTGCGAATACCTCTTTCGCGAAGCGGCCTCAGCGACAAAGAGTTTAGAAACGGAGGGCCTTGAGTACAAGGGAACAGCTGACCGACCGCCGCTTGTTCGATGGCTTCGACGTTGTTAAATGATGAACCTAGATAGAACTCATTGAGTTCAACATTGGCTGGTGCAAGAAAGTTCGGAGTTATATATGGCCGAGTGAGGAGTTTCTGGAAGTCTTCGAAACTGAAGGAGTCACCAGACCGGGATTGTGAAGCAGCCATTATGAACGAAATAGAGTTTGTCGAAGTTACGTAGTAGAGAAGCAAGAAGATGAACAATAATATTGTGAGAGAAAAGCGCGAAACAATGAGGCGTGATTTAGTGGTGCAATGAAATGACGTGTATTTGGGGGTTATAAGGGTTTGCAAACGTCGCACCTTTTCAGGCTATGAAAGAAAACAATGATTAAAATTTTTGGGAATTTCGAATGATTGTTGGGAAACACAAAGTGAATATGGTAAAAATTAATAATTGATATTAATTCTGTCATATTGGGGGATAATTGTTGACACACAAAAGTTCAGCCCAAATCGGATAGCTCAAGGAATGAAACCCAATTGGAGGATCCCCAAATCAGATAGCCCAATCAGGCAATGCAGGATAAATGCCCAAATAGGGAAACCCATGAACGCAGTAATACCATCGTCCAAGGTTACAAGTTGCCCAAGATTTGAGCGAATAGATTGCCATGCAGTCGCCCAGAACTGTGACCCTGTTCTCTCCCAAACCTTCGAGTCGCCCAAGATTTTAGCAAACATAAGATGTTATGGTTACCCAAAGGTGCGGTTAATGAAGCAGTTATTGAGTAGCCCTATCACGTTCCACGATTCAAGGAATTCAATTGAAGACGGTTGAACGAGAAAAAGTAATGGCAGCAGTTAGAGAAGTCAGTTCCATGACAAGTTGGTCACTATGAAGAAAGTGGACAGTTATAGAGTGATCAAATAGTTTTTAAGCGGTTGATCAATAAAAAATCATTCAGGGAGTATAAAAGGAAGAAAAGACATGGAGCAAAAACCCCCCGAATTAAACACTCTCAAACAGAGAATATGTAACTTTAAATTTTTTAGTTTAGATTTAAACACTTCTTTTCAGTAACTCGTGTGCTTACGGTCCTTGGAGGCATTCTGTTTTATTTTCCAATTGTAA